TGCACGCGGCGAAGGAGAGCGTGCCGTCGCTCGTGCCGAGCTCGCGGAAGGGATGGCCGATCGCGCCTACTTCCGACGCGTGCGCGAGGCCGCCAGTCGAGAGGCCGCGGGCTTGCCGCGCACTGCTCCCGTCCAGCTGGGTCGGGATTGGCGCAAAGCCTTGCGCGCCGTCCTGCACAACGCTGAGGTCTCGACGGGCCTCGCCATCGCAGAACGTGCCGCTCGTGCTGGGGACGCACCCGCGTCGTCCACTGGCCGCTCCTTGGCCGAGGTGGAGGCTGAGGACCCGCGCGCCTTGGCAAGGCCCGCCGACGACCCTGCGTCCAGCTTCAGCCGTCGTGAGCGGCGCGCGGTCCGCGCCCGCCTGGGCCCGCGGGATGAAGCGGTCGAGGACCAGCCCAACCGCGGTGGTCACGCGCCGCACTCCGCCTCGCGCACGGGCGCCGCGCGCACCAGGCGCGCCGCCAGGCAGCGGCGGGCTTCGATGGCGGCGCTCCCCGCCCCTGAGGGGGGGGCCGCCACGGCGCCTGGCCGCAGGGCGCGTCGCACTGCCAATGCGCGCCGCTGGGCAGGCGCGGCACGCCCCAGCTCCGCCGCGGGAGTGGGCTCCCCACCGCGGAGCCGCAGCCCTGCCCGCAGCCGTACGCGGTCTCCAAACCCGTACGGGACCGACCGCACCTCTCCCTCGGGGGGCTGCTCGTCGCCTCCCGTCGACGGCCCGATCTCGCCCGAGGAGCCGTCGGAGCCGCCTGCGGGGGAGGCATCGGAGGGCCCGCACACTCCTGACGGGTCCCCGCCCGCGAGCGTTCGCAGCCGCTCGAGAGCGGAGCCCGCGTGCGACGAGGACTCTCCGACGGAGCTCGAGGACGTCGTGCTGAGTGCCCTCGCAGACTCCTCGATGGACCTCGAGCGCGTCGTGGCGGGCCTGAACCCCGAGGTCCTCCGCCGCCTGCAGGCGGCCTTCCCTCGCCGCTCGGGGGCCTCTCCGCCCGCCGCTCGCGCCTCGGTTCGCAGTCGCTCTCGGGGCCGCGGCACGCGTGTCGGCTCCGAGACTCCGCGGCCCGTGCCCCCGCCGCCGCCGCCGCCCCCTCACCACTCTGGTGGGCGTGCGGCGTCGCGATCCCTCGCGTCGGCCGCAGGCCAGGGGCTTAGTCGGGCCGTCGCGCGCGGCTCCTCTCGCGCGCCTTCGCGCCAGGCGACGTCGCCTCGGCGTCGCGAGGTGCGCTCCCCTCGAGTCGCTCCGAAGCGGCGCCCGAGCCCCGCTACTGCGCAGCGGCTAGCCATGTCTCGCCATGGTGCGAGCTCGGGCGACGCCCACGCAGGCAGCTCCCGCGCGGACTCCGCTGCTCGGGCCCCTCAGTCTTCGGTAGGCACGCGCTCCTCCAGCGATGCTGTTGCGGCCCCGCAGGGCGGGGGGCGCGCCGCCGAGAAAAGGGGGTCTTCGAGCGGCCCCGCGCCTGGCCGAGATTCAGGGCACGAGCTGCATCCCAGCGGCTCCCACAGCGGCGACGCTGGGAGCGCCGCGGCTGCAGCCTTCGCAGCGCGGCGCACGGCCTCCGCGGCCGTTGAGCAGCCCTTGCCTCCAGGGGCCGCCACCGCCCTAGCGTGGCGTCTCAACCTCGGCGGTGAGAAGGTCACAGTGGTGAGGTGGGGACCCGCCTGGCAAGCTGCCTTCCAGAGCGCGGCGTCGTGGCTGAGGTCTTTCGCACCCGCAGGGGCCGCCGAGCCCGAGGGCAGAGATGACCTGCACTGCCTCCTGCAGGCCTTGCACGCCTATAAGCGCCTGTTTCAGACAGGCGGCGCCGAGCCGATCGACGAAGCCTCGTGGTTGCATCCTTACGTGGCCGTCGTCGAGCCCGAGGCTATCCCCGCGGGCGCTGACCTCCAAGCCATGGGGGCGGGCGCCATCCGTGGCATCGGGCTCGGCTCAAAGATCGAGCACAGGAGGCGCGCAGGCAAGTTGGCCTGCCTTTTCGACCTTCTGTACCACGTGCAGGACGGTCACGGCGCCATCCCAGCAGCGCTGTGGGGATCTCATTCCCCTCCGTCCGAGATCCTCGACGCGTTCGCGGAGGTGGTGCCCGTTCCACATCATTCGGGCCTCACGTCCTCGGCAGCTCGTTCCGAGCTCGCCGAATCGGCCGCAGCTGCGCGCGCCGAGCCGCGCCCGCCCTTTGACTGGGCGACCCTCGAGGGAGGGGACGCTCTGCCCGCCGAGATCGAAGCAGGGGCTCGCCGTGCTCACCGTAACATGGGCGGATCCTTCACCTCGGCGCGGGCGATGCTGGCGGAGGCGTCGGGGTTCGAGACCGACGGGCGGGACACCCTCGTTCCGCCCTTCTACGCGTCCAGGAGCAGGAGGGCCGCCACGCTGATCAGCTCTCCCAGCCCTGGCCGCCCTGCGCTCATCCTGTGGTGCGTCTGCGGCCTCTGCATCTCTCTGGGAGCCGCGGCGCCGACCGCAGGCCAAGGGCTTAGTCGGGCTGCGCCTTCCGCGCCCGCTCGCCCTCCGCGCACTCCCTTCGTGCGCGATTCTCACCTCACCTCCGCGTATCTCGATCGTCGCTCGAGATCGATTGATGCGTTCGAACTGTGGTTAGCAGAACACACTGGCGTGCCGCCCGCCACTCTTTACCGTAGCGGGATACTTCTCGCCCGCTTCCTCGCGACCTTCGGCGTGTGGCTTCATGATGCAGGTTTCCCTCATTATATTCTGGTTCATGCCATCTTGGGAATCCAGAGCGCTCATCCGCATTGGAAGGCCTTTCTAACAGAAGCTTGGGACGTAGCGAAACAATGGAAGCTCGCGGAGCCGCCAAAGCTCCGCCCGCCCTTACCTCGCGCTCTGCTGCGCGCTATGGTCGGTCTCTGTTTCGCCTGGGACTGGCCTGTGATGGCGGCCTTGCTGCTCATGGGCTTCACGATGTTCCTCAGGCCTGGCGAGCTGCTGGCGTCGCGCCGCTGTGACTTGTCGCTTCCTTGCGACCGCCTCGAAGTTGAAGGGGGTGCTTTTCTCTCGATTCTTGTTCCAAAGACCAGGAGAACGTACCCGACGCAGCATGCTCGCTGCTCCAATCGGGGCACGGTGAAGATTCTGAATCAAGTGTTTGGGCGGTTGGCTTCCACCGATCCTCTCGCCCCTTTCGGTGCGAGCGGCTTCCGTACTCGGTGGAATCATTTGCTTTCGGCCCTGGGCGTCCCTCTTGCCAAAGCGGGTCAGGGGCTCAACCTGACGCCCGCATGTCTGCGGGGCTCTGGCGCAACAGACTTCTATATCGCTACGGAAGACGTCCCTCGCGTCTGCTGGCGAGGGCGTTGGCGTCAGGCTTCCAGTGCTGAGCGCTATTTGCAAGCCGCCGCCGCTTCCACAGTTCTTGCTGCGCTGCCCGTGCCCGCACGGGCGCGGATCCTGTTCTTCGCCACCGCCAGCGACCGCCTTGTCGCTTCATTTCTCCAAGTCGGCCCCGCCGCTTGGCCTGCCCTACTTGCGGCCGCCCGCCGAAACCTTGTCACTTCGCAAGGTCCTTGAGCACGGGTATGGCTGCCTCGCCGTCGTCGGCGAGCAGGCGGACTCCCCCGCCTGACGCGCGGCGCCCCGGCACGAGCGCGCGGGACGGGCCTGCCCATTTTGGGCCGCCCCGCGCGCGCGAGCCGCGGCCGCGCTCGGAGACAGCTCGCTAGCGCGCGAGCGGGAGAATGCCTCTTCTATTCTCTGTGAGCAAGCTCCTGCTGTCTCCGCAGCTTCTCTGCCCCCCTCCCTCCTCTCCCAATCTAAGGCTGATGGGCGCTGCCTCGCCGTCGTCGGCGAGCAGGCGGACTCCCCCGCCTGACGCGCGGCGCCCCGGCACGAGCGCGCGGGACGGGCCTGCCCATTTTGGGCCGCCCCGCGCGCGCGCGCCGCGGCCGCGCTCGGAGACAGCTCGCTAGCGCGCGAGCGGGAGAATCCTCCTCCTCCTCCTCCTCCCCCCCCCCCCTCCGCGCCCCCCGCAGCTTGCAAGAATACAGGACGAGGAATATAGAGTCCACCCGCGCAGTGAGGATGAGAGCGACGTTCCACGGTTGCCCTTGCAGCCTTTGGCCCATCCTTCAGGCGATCGCAGACATGGATCAAGGGGTGTGGATCAGCGACGGGCCCCGCTTCCATTGGGGAAACGGGGATTTCCGCCGCCGAACGAAGCGGCACCGGCCGCCTTTTGGGGAGGACACCTCCCCCGATCCATGGACGTGGCGACCGCGCGCCAAATCCATGGATCGCTAATCCATGCTTGCGCGCCCCCGAACATTCGGCCACTTGCGCTGGCCGCGCCCCCCTCGCAGAGTGTGGGCATGGCCTTTCCAAGGGTCTTGCACATCCTCATCGCGCGTCCTTCTTATTCGCGTAGGGGATCGACTACAGAATTGATGGACCCCCAAATCGGAATGCTCGTCGGACTTGGAACAAGTGCGCAGAGCTCTCGCAAATCTGCTGTGCGTTCTGCACATCCTCTTGTAAATTCGCGAAGGGATCAATTCTGGGGTAACTGAATTTCGCAGTCGGGCTCCCAGTCGAATTACTCGGGTTGACCGTATGCGCACATCCCCCCACGCGGCCGCCCTCGCCTTCCCCCCCTTCCTTGCACGCCGGCCAATCAGCCTTCTCGGTTGCCCCGAATAGCCGCACGCCGGAGCGGCCTGCCCTTGCCTCGCCGCCGACGAAAAGGGCATGCGCACGCCATCACTGTGCGGATGCACCCAGCGATCCGACGTCGCGAGTTGTTCAGTGCGGGGTCCCCAGAAGTCTCGACCGATTCCCCAGGACCGGTTTTTCATCCTGAATCGTTTTTTTGCAGCCTTCGGGCCCGGCGAGAGCCCCTACTAGGGGGCCGAAAATTGCGAAATCCTCCGTCTTGATTTTTTCAATGCGTTGGATCTCTGGGCACATCCGCCGCCCCGGGGTCCTGGGAGCTCGGCCCCCCAGGCGGTGCATGCGTGACAGATCCCCCCCGCGGCGCCTCGCAGAGGAGGCCCCGCGCGCGCCCCGGCGCCCGCCGCCGGCTGGGGGCGTCGCCCGCGAGGTCGCCGCAAGGGTGCGCGACGGGCAGCTGACGGAGGCCGAGGCGCTGGGGGTTCCCCAGACCCCCTCGCGCTGTGAAAGAATCACGACGGGTGGTTTTTCGCTATGTTCTGCATGTGGGGACCCTTCCCGGGCCTCGGGACCGTCCAAAAACGACTCAGGATGAAAAAACCGGTCCTGGGGAATGGGTCCAGACCTCTGGGGGTCGACGTTGCAAAAAAATCGCGACATCGGGGGTCTGGGTCAGAGGTTGGAGTACCATGTTGGACTTGCTCTAGAAAGGAACATACCGTAGACGGATTTACCTTTTCTCCGACTATGCATCGCGCCGAAGGCAGCGGCCACGTTGTCCGTGGACGCATCCACCCTGGAAGTGTCTCTATGGACGTTACGGCACCCAATATGTCCATAGACGCTTTGGGCTAGGACGTGAGAGCGGTATTTGGCATCGGCCCCAGATGTTGGTCTTCTGGAAGCAGGTAAGCTTGGCCCTCCAAGTTAGAGGGGCGGGGCAACTTTCTCGAACAAGGTTTTGGGGGTTTTCGGGCGGTCTCGTCGGCTGCTGGCGGCTTCCAGCAGCTGCGCCTCGCCGAGGGCGATCCAGGGGTGCCCAGATCGTCCCGAAGGGCCGCGGGAGAGCCAATTTCTCGCCCGAAGACTAAGGGGCAGCATTAGAGGCGGGATGGGCTCAGGGTGGTCTCATCGACCCCCAATCGCCCATTCATCGCCGACGGGGGCCTCACATAGCCCACCCCGCCCAAGACCGTACGGATTTGTCATCGGGGGCCTATCGCCGATCTATCGGGGATGTGTCGCTGATTCCAGGTCGGTGCTCCTTCACTCACCCTGAGCCGGTCCCCCCCCCCTAGCCTTGCCCCTTAGACCCAGAGGTCCGATGTTGTGATTTTTCCCATACGGGGTCCTCAGATGTCTCGACCGATTCCCCAGGGCCGGTTTTTCATCCTGAATCGTTTTGACGGTCCCGGGGCCCAGCGAGGGCCTCTGGAGGCGGAATATTGTGAAAGCCTCCGTCTGGATGTTCTCAACACGTTGGACGAACAGTGCGAAAAACCTTCGTCTTGATTCTGGTCCATGCGTTGGATCTCTGGAGAGGCGCTGATGGAGCGCCTGGGCGAGCAGCTGGGCTCGGAGCCCGCCGCGGCGTCCTGCCGCTCGCTCGTCCTGGCGCTCACCCGGGAGGGCGAGTTCGGGCGCGCCGAGAGGTGGCTGAAGGAGCCCAGTTTGCTTCGACCGGTCGTCGCCGACCCAGACCCCTCTCGCTGCGACAAAATCACGGCGGGGGGTCTCGGCTTCCGGGTGCCCCTCCTGACCCCGCGGGGCCGTCGGAAAGCGACGCGGGACGAAAAGATTGTCCCGGGGAAGGGGTCCAGACCTCCGGGGGTCGACGTTGTGCCCAGACCTCCTCGCGTTGTGAAAAAATCACGACGGGAGGTTTTTCGCTATTTTCGACCTTTGGGGGCCCTCGCCAGCGCCTCGGGACCGTCAACGACTCAGGATGAAAACCGGGTCCTGGGGAATGGGTCCAGACCTCGGGGGGTCGACGCTGCGAAAGAATCACGACGCCAGGGGTCTGGGGTGCAGGGGGATCTTTTGGCCCCGTGGGGCATCGGCGGTGCAGTGCGATCCTCTGGCTCCACGGGCTGTCACCGCACCGCAACGCCTGTCACCGCACGGTTTGTCGCCTCGCCGTTCTGGGGCTCCCAAACGGTCCGGGCCGTCCAAATGGGGTTCGAGCAGATGGGGTCGGAGGATCACGCCGTATCACCGATGCGTCTCGATTCGGAGCCCGATTTGCTCCATCCTGACGTCGCCGATGCATCCGCGTTGCAGCGCGATCCTCCGACCCCATCTGCCAAGACCCTAGTTGGGCGGCCTCTGGAGAGGGCCCCCGCTGAGAGGATCGGGCATGATCGGACGCTTCCATTCTGGAGGTCGAGCCTCCACCTTTTACCGAGCGCGCTCCACTACTCACTACTCGCAAAGTGCCTGCTCGCAAACGTCCGAGAAGCACATGCATGCTTGCCTCGCTGTGCTGGATCGCAGATCCCTCGCGGTGGATCCGTGCCATTTGCGAGCAGTTACTTTGCCAGCGGTGGAACGCGCTTGCCCAGACCCCCGGAGGAGGGGAGCCGTCCAGACTGGGGGGGAGGGGGAAAGCTTCCGGCTGCACGGGACGGAGGGGGAGAGAGGCACAGAACCTCCAGGGGCGCATGGGGCAGAGGGGCCCCGCCCGAGGGGTCGAACGCTTCGACTGTGGACGCAGCGAGCCCTCGGGGCGCGGAGGGGAAGCGCCTCCCAGAAGGGAGGTCGGCCCTCCGTCCTGGGGGTGTGTGACCTCGGCGGCGAGCGCGGGGGGGGGGGAAGGTGAGGAGGAGAAGGCCTTCTCGGAAGGCGGCGGGGCTTCTCAGAAGCCCTCGCGCCTGCTGAAGGGGTTTCCTCTGCCTTCGGGTAAGGCTCAGAACACTTCTCGGAAGGCCGAGGGGCTTCCGAGCCCTCTGAGAAGGCCTTCTCGCTTCCCCCCCGTGCTCGCCGCCGATGGTTGCGGGCGGATCCTGGTCGCGGGCGGGGCGACGGGTCACCACCCACCAAGCCACCCCAACCCAGCCCGAAGGCCTCAATCTGCCCTCCATCTCCAGTGGGAGGGGGGTCGAGGAACACTGAAAAAGCACATGTGCAACCCGTACCCCCCCCCACACCCCGAAATTCAGGCCTTCGGGTTGGGTTGGGGTGGTCTGGTAGGTAGCCAAGGGGGTGGGCCGCTTTACATCAGAAGGCCACCCTCTCTCCGCCGCCTCAGAAGCCCTGGCGCCTCCTGGCGCTGCGAGAGGCCTCTGGAGAGTGGCCCGTCCCCTCTGGGAGCCCCCGCCTTCTCAGAAGGCCGCCTGAGGCCCCAGGGTCATCGAGGATAGAACAACCCCGAACCTCAATAACACGACGAAGATTTACCAGTCGTTCGGCCGGCGAGCCGGGGGCGCCAAGGGCTGCATTTACCGGTCGTTCGGCTGGCGAGCGGGGGCGCCAATAGCTGCATTTGCCGGTCGCTCGGCAGGCTCAGCCAGTGCGAAGCGTGAGCGAAGTGGTGCAAACGTTGTAAAAAAAGAAAAAGTAACACGACGAAGACGCAGTCTCACTGAGGTCCCCGCCTTTGCATTGGGGATCATAAATATGGGCGGTTTGGTCTGATATATTTGCAGGAGGAGGAGAAGGAGGAGGAGTAAGAGGAGGAGGAGGAGAGGAGGAGAAGGAGGACTTGGAGGAGCACCAGGAGGAGGAGGCGGAGGAGGAGAAGGAGGAGCAGGAAGAGGAGGAGGAGGTTTGGCCGTTCTAACTCAGGACCCCTCCCAAAGGGTCAGGGGTCCGTTTTTGGTTGATCACAGGGCGCACCTCGATCTCATCGACCCGCTTCGGGATCGGTTTTGGCCAGCTCGGTCCGACTGCATTTGTCACGATCCGCTGCGGCCTGGTCCGACGCACGCTCCGATCGATGCGGCCCGCTCGCCCGACGACCCGCCCGCGGCCACGAGGCACAGTGGAGACCCGTGCCAAGAAACACCCTGCTTGCCTCCAGGGTGCCCAGGTGATCGTTGTCTAATGCATTGTTTTGCCGATCGACGCGGGCCCGCGCCCCCCCCCCCTCCCCCCCCATGGGGTGGATCTTGGCAGTTTTTGGCGCCTGTTTCGAGCAGGTGGAGTCCCTCCCCTAGAGGACGCACTGTTGCAACCAGTCGCACAAAGCAGAGGTCTGGAGCCAGACCCCCCCCCCCCCCACCTTCCTCCCAATGTCGAAACGCCGAATAAGAAACGCTCACCCGGGTTTCTTGGGTCTCGTGGCCCTCCGAGGCCCTTGCATCCTTACCGCGCATCCTCATGGGAATCCATATGGTGTTTTCGGGAACCCATAGGAGTCCTTAGAGAATCCATAGGAATCCTTAGGAAATCCATGGGATCCCTTAGGAGATCCATGGGATTCTTCAGGCATTCCACAGGATTCCTTAGGAAATCCATCGGGTTCCTTAGGAAATCCATAGGCATCCTTAGGATACGGGTTGGCTGCGTCGTCGGAGGGTTTCTTGCTTCTTGTGGCGGGTTTCTTGTGGAGGGTTTCTTGTGGTCGAGCTCCTGCTGCACTTCATGTTGCTGCCCACTTCTTCTGCGCATCCGAGGCCCTCCGAGGCCCTCTGCACCCTCACCGCGCGCCCTCGCGATACAGTGCAGGCTGCCCCGTCGGAGGTCTGGGCCTTGCGCGCCCGCCGCGCAGGAGCTCACGCGGGCGCCGGGGGGCGCCGGCGCCCCGGCGCGCTTCGCCGGCGCCGTCGTCTCCGCGAGGGCCAGGCCCGGCCGGGCACGCAGAGGAAGAGAGCAGCGTGGAGGCCCACGCCAAGAAGCACCCCGCTCGTCTGCAGGGTGCCCGGGGAGTTTTTCCTGGGTTCTGAAGGGGTTTTCTGCCGTCATGGAAGGCGTGGCGCTCCCACGCCGAGCGTCCATGGGCGCCCCCGTGTCTCAGGGTGGGGTTTCTTGCGGAAGCTTTCTTGTGGACTGGCCTCCGCTGCAAGAGTGAGAGGGACTCTTCGCAGGGAAGTGGCCTCGGGTGCGCGGTTGTCGGGGGCCCGAGGCGCCCCCTTCCGTCACAGCACCAACGACCGGTTGGAGGGCCTGAGAGCCCGGGTGGCCGCTCGAGGGCAGGCCAGCATGCAGAGAGCCACGCCGACTGGATTGGGCCACGCGAAGCTTCTGATTGACCCGGTTCGCCTTGAAAGCGCCTTGGGTGTTTTTAAAGCTACTTCTGTGTTGGGTTTTTGACAGGCTGAAGACGCCGAAAAATGCTAGTTTTTCTTTTTGGGGGGGGGAGCGTTTTTAGGGAAGTTGTGTTTGCGTTGTTGTTGTTGCGTGTTTTGTGCGCTTTCAGGCTGAAAACGTTAAAGGAGTGTCTGAACACGCTAAAACAACGCATCATTGGTTCAGCGTGTTTAGTTTCTTTTGTGGAGACCTGAAAGCGCCAACACATGATTCCCAAGACGCCGGGCTGAAAACGCTCAAAAAACGCCCTGGGCATGTTTAAGGCGAACCAAACGATAGAACTGCTGACGCTCATTTCGCAGGCTTAGAGGTTGACACCAACACCAATATCTGCGGTGTGCGTCCCCCGAGGGAAGAAGATCCCGACCTCGGCGATGGTGGTCATACTTCTGGCTTCCAAGGTTGGCGAAACCTTACCACCACCACCGAAATCGAGGAGTAATCTTCCCCGTGGAGCCCCCCCCCCCTGTGTGCTGGTATTTTGATGCCCATTCTTCCAGGCCTCCTGTCTCATTGGCCGACGCCCACGTCCCGCCTCGGTGGCCCAGCGGGGCCAAGCCCAAGCACGCAGGCCGCTGCCGTCGCACCGCACGCGACGGCTGGCGCGCCGCGCACCCTGCAGGGGGGGCACTCCTGGCTTGCCCCCCCCTGGGTTTGAAAGGTGGCCATCGGCATTCCCAGACCCCCCTCGCGTGGTAAAAAAAACACGACGGGCGGTTTTTCGCTGTATTCTGCATTTGGAGACCCTCGCCGGGCCTCGGCACCGTCAAAAAACGACTCGGGATGAAAAACCGGTCCTGGGGAATGGGTCCAGACCTCTGGGGGTCGACGTTGTAAAAAGTCACGACGTCGGCGGTCTGGTCATGCGAGGGAACAACCCCCGGGTCTTCGCCAATCGTTAAAACGTCGAGCTTCGACTTTCGGTCGAGCCCAAGATGACTCCCAGACAGGCTCGTGACCCGAACGGAGGAACGGCGCCGAAGGGGTGGACGAGACGCGTGATTGTTAGCACAGCTCAAACGAAATCGCCACTCTCTGGCGGTGTGAAAAGCGACCCGAAAATACCATGTGAGGAATTCTCCGGCGACATCGCCACTCTCAAGCGGCATGAAGATCGATCTGAGTTTTCGTTCTGAGAAAGTCCCACGCGAAATCGCAATTTTCAGATTCCATGGCTAATCTTCAGATTGCCCTGGAACACGATCTGAAAATTTGTTTGAGGAAGTCTCGGGCGGAATCGCACTTTCATACGCTGACCCCATTTGGCCGTCCTAAGATCAAAAGGGGTGAGAGATGCATCTGAAATTCCCAAATCGGCCCCAGCTCCAACATTGGCGCGGGGCCCCGCGGCCTAACCGGAGGCCAACCGTGTAGCGGGCTGTAGGGCCACTCTCGCGTGTGGTTGGCAGGCACGGCGACGCGTGCGGCGCGGAGGCCTGGCTGGAGGGGATGGTGGCGGACGGCGTCGCGCTCGACGAGACGGCCTACAACGCTCTGATCTACGCCTTCGCGCTGGAGGCTCAGGGGAGGAACGTTGCAGAAAGTTTCGGTGCTTTCGCATAGTTGCTCTGGAGTTTTCGGAAGTTTCCGGGCGTCTTCGAAGCCACGGGTGGTCTCCATCAGTTGCGCCTCGTCGAGGGTATTCCCAAGGGTCCTGAACAGCCGCCGGAGAGCAGCATTGCGACCCGAAAGCTAGAAAGGATAACTTTGGAGGTTGGGGAAAGAATCAGGGGCGGCCTAACCGACCCCTAGAAAACCATCCCCTTCCGTGACGTCCCCCTCGCCACGCCCCAAGATGTATGTCTTCAGCCAGAGGGGAGCTCGCAAGGCGAGGATTACGTCACGGAAAGCGACGGTTTGCTAGGGGTTGGTTGGGCCGCGCCCGAAACAAAAGGGGGCTATTCATTCACGCGTTGGCGCATTCGCGCTGGAGGCCGATGCGGGCCGCGCGGAGGGCTGGCTGCGCCGCATGCGCGCTGAGGGCGTGGCGCCAGATCTGACGGCCTACAGCTCCGTGTTGCACGCGTGCGCCAGGGCCGGGGACGTCGACCGCGCGGAGGCCTGGGTCAAGAGGATGTTCGGGGCGACGCTCGGGAGGGGAAGTTCGAGGTTCGAGGCTTTCGGACATGGTCGTCGGTTCTCGGCTCCCCGCCTCGGGGTGCGTTCCAGCGGCTGCGCCTCGCCGAGAGCCCTCCTGGTCTCTCTGGATCGTCCCGAACAGCCGCCAGAGCGCTGCTTCATGGCCCAAAGGCCAAGGGGCAACGTTAGGGGGGGATGGGCTCGGACCGCATCGACTCCCATACACTACCATTAAGGCGGGCCTGTCCCTCTACAGGAGGAAAGTTCAAAAATACTCCAAAAATAGTCTGGGAACGATTTGTTGAGTATTTTTTGGCCATTTGGGGGCATTTTCTGAGTATTTTTAATAGTTCGTCCAAAATCCCCCTGTTGGAGGACAGCCGCGACTTAACATGCGCCCATCCATCGCCGATAGGGGCCCGATGGCCCACCCGCCCAGGAGAGTGCGGATCTGCTATCGGGGGCCCATCGCCGATCTGTCGGCGGTGTATCGTCTGTTGAAGGCTGACGTCCCTCTCCCCCTGAGCTGGTCTCCCCCCTAACGTTAAGTCAGGCCTGTCCCTCTACAGGAGGAGTACTCAAAAATAGTCCAAAACATTTTCTCGGGACGATTTTGTTTGCCATTTTTGAATATTTCGAGGGCATTTTCGAGGTATTTTTTATTTTGTCGTCCGAAATCCGCCTCTAGGGGGACCGGCCCGACTTAACCCTAACATTCCACCTCAGGATGGTGGCGGACGGAACCGAGCCAAACGTCATCTGTTACAACGCCGTCGTGCAGGCCTGCGCCACGGCGAACGACTGCGCCCGAGCCTCGCATTGTGTCCAGCGCATGATCGAGGAGGGGGTCGAGCCGGGGCTGCGGACCTACAACATCTTGATCGGTGCGTTCGCAAAGAGTGGCGACGCGGACAAGGCCGACACCTGGCTGCGCAGGATGGTGGACCGCGGGGTGAAGCCCGATGTGGCGACGTACGTCACGGTCCTCAACGCGTGCAGCAAGGCCGCGGACGTCAATAGGGCGAACGCCGTCTTCGAGCACATGTGTGCGCAGGAGGTCGCGCCGAACGGCAGTGTGTTCAACCTCCTCATCGGCCTCCACGGCCGCGTCAACGACGCCTGCGGAGCGGCGCGGTGGCTGCGCATCATGCGCGAGGCTGGCTTCGTTGCCGACCGCATCACGTTCATCACGGCGGTGAAGGCGCTGCCCCGCAGCGACGACGTGCCCGGGGCAGAGGCCATCTTCAGGGAGATGTTTGCTTCCAGGCTGGACCCGGACGTCGTGGCGTACAATATGATCATAACGACGTGCGCCCGCTCTGGTGACCTGGAGAGGGCCATCGGCTGGTTTCAGGAGATGGTCAACAGGGGCCTGCAGCCGGACACCGTCAGCTACAGCTCGGTGCTTGGCCGCACGTCAGGGTGACCCTCTCCCGATCGCCGGATTCTGTGCGATTGCAGCCGCTTGCGCGCATGTGTTTGGCACCCTGGGCCCCCCAGAACCCGCGCATTAAAGGTCACTCTTGCCTGGGGTCCTTTTGCGTGTAGCCGAGGTGGTGAATGCCTGCGCCAAAGCGAACGACGCAGACCGCGCGGAGGAGTGGCTGAGCAAAATGATCGCCGACGGCGTGGAGGCCAACGCGATCTGCTACAACCAGGTCATCCACGCGTGCGTGCGCAGCGGCGACGCCACGCGTGCTGCGCTCTGGATTGACCGGATGACTGCTCGCGGCGTGTCGCCCACCGCGCGGAGTTTCAACACCCTCATCAGCATGCACGTCAAGGCGGGCAACGTGCCCGAGGCGGAGAGGTGGTTCGACAAGATGGTGTCGGCCGGGCTGGAGCCCGACGTGGTGAGCTTCAACACCGTCATCGCGGCCTTCAGGGGCCTTCAACGGGAGGAGGAGGAGGAGGAGGAGGAGGAGGAGGATGACGAGGAGGAGGAGGACCAGTGTAAACCCAAGAGTCATCAACGATGTTGAAATAAACCCTCCCTCCAAGCTCCCTCTTCATAGGCCCCTGCATAGGTTCATCTCCATTTGTAGAGCTGCCTCGTTGGAAGACAACCGTTTGAAGACCCTGAAGCATGCCAAAACAGTGTTCTCGGGATTCTGACGCCATGGATCAACCTGACTGTTGCGTCTTGACGATACTGAATCGTGCCAGAACGCGACTTCAACACAGCGAACCAACATAATTGTTATGCCCGCAATCCAGAATATTTTCATAACGCTATTTCTGGCACGTTGATGATAGGCATCCGTGGAACTCTTGCAAATGTTGTAAACGAATGTGCGCGGCGCTAAGGCTAGAGCCACATTTGGAAATGGGAACGCCCTCAATCCGTGAAACTCGTGCAAATGTTTAAAACGAATGCGCGCCACGCTACGGCTAGAGTCACAGATTGAAAGCAACCCGCCCCCAATCCGTGAAACTCTTGCAACATGTTTAAAGCGAAGGAGCGCCGCGCTAAGGCGAGAGCCACAGATTGGAAAACGACCCGCCCTCAAGCCGTGAAGCTCGTTCAAATGTTCCCTACCTAGGCTCTGCCTAGAAGGGTTCTTACTCTCTCAGCTTAAAGGGGCCGGGCAGTGGAACACGCCCCGGGCGGTTCCCCCAGTCCCCTGGGAGCGGTTCCCCCCAGTCCCCTGGGAGCTTTAGCTTTAGCTTTAGCTTAGCTTTAGCTTAGCTTTAGCTTAGCTTTAGCTTTAGCTTAGCTTAGCTTAGCTTTAGCTTAGCTTAGCTTTTAGCTTAGCTTTAGCTTTAGCTAGCTTAGCTTAGCTTAGCTTAGCTTAGCTTAGCTTTAGCTTAGCTTTAGCTTAGCTTTAGCTTAGCTTTAGCTTAGCTTTAGCTTAGCTGTAGCTTAGCTTTAGCTTAGCTTTGCTCAGCTTTAGCTTAGCTTTAGCTTAGCTTAGCTTTAGCTTAGCTTTAGCTTAACTTTAGCTTAGCTTTAGCTTAGCTTTAGCTTAGCTTTAGCTTAGCTTTAGCTTAGCTTTAGCTTAGCTTTAGCTTAGCGTTACTGCTACTACTAATGCTGCTTTCCTAGGGGTTCCAACTCCTAGGTAGGGTCGCACTGGGATAATTTCAAACGAATGTGTGCCGTGCTAAAGCGAGAGCCACATTTTGAAAAGGAAGCGCCGTCAATCCGGGAAGCTCTTGCAAATTGTTGACCCGAATGTGCCCGACGCTAAGGCGAGAGCCACATTTTGAAAACGATCCGCCCTCAATCCGCGAAGCTCATACACATGTTTCAAGCGAATGTCGGCCGCGCTTAGACGAGAACCACATTTTCAAAGCGACCCGCCCTCTATCTGTGAAGCTGTTGTCAATGTTTAAGCTTCAAAGTCGTAGATGGTGAGGAAGTCTCAGGCGAAACGCCCGACCCGCCTAAAAACTAGCCTCGGGGTGCGAAAGGGAGCAGTTATGTATGAGGAGAAGGACTGGAAGAGGAGGAGGAGGAGGAGGAGGAGGAGGAGGAATCACAACAAGGAGGAGGAGGGTGAGGAGGAGAAGGAGGAAAAGGAGGAGGAGGAGGAGGAAGAGAAAAAGGAGGAGGAGGAGGAGGAGGGGGAGGAGGAAAAGGATTTTTAAAAAGAGGAGGAGGAGGAGGAGGAGGAGGAGGAGGAGGAGGAGGAGGAGGAGGAGGAGGAGGAGGAGAAGAAGGAGGAGAAGGAGGAGGAAAAGGCATGGAGGAGTAGGAGGAGGAGGCTCAGGGTGGGACGCATCGACCCCTAGTCGCCGGTTGATCGCCTGGAGGGGGGCTTGCTTGCGCGCCCCGCCGAGGAGCGCGCGGATCTGCCATCGGGGGCTTATTGTTAAGTCGGGCGTGTCCCTCTGCAGGAAGAATATTCAAAACTATAACACACATAATGTGGGGACGATTCTTTTAAAGTCATGTTTTGACTATGTTCGATTACTTTTTGATTATTTTCGATTTGTCCTTCAAAGTCCGCCTGTAGGAGGACATGCCCGACCTAAGCTTATTGCCGATTAATCGGCGACGTATCCCCGATTTCAGCTCGGTGTTTCCGCCCCCCCTGAGCTGGTCCCCCCCGTACAGTGAAAACGCATGCCAAGAAACACCCTACTTCCCTGAGATCCAACGCATTGAAAAAATCAAGACGGAGGTTTTTCGCACCTTTCGGCCTCTAGGGGCCCTCGCTGGGCCCCAGGACCGCCAGAAAACGATCCAGGATGAAAAACCGGTCCTGGGGGAACCGGTCGAGGCGTCCGGGGACTCCGCATTGACAAAAGCACTACGTCGAGTGACGGCGGCCGCGGGGCCCCTCCCGGCAGGAGCGAGGCAAGGGAGGAGGATCGGAGGAGAGAGGAGGTCGAGGAGGGCCAGCCGGAAGAGGGGGCGCCGGCCGAGGAGGAAGCGGCGGGCCCTTTTCTGGTGCACGTCCTGCAGTCTCACGGTGCGGCGAACCCTTCCCAAGGAAGGGGCGGGCGACATCCTGCCGCAGGTGGGAAGGCCGGCGATGGCCGCAGGCCCAGCCAAGCAGCGCCGAGAAAAGCTGCTTGACTCCCCCCTGGAGGAAGGTGGGCGGCAGCAAGTCGGAAGGGAGGCCAGGGGGGGTGTGGGACAGATCCAAGAAGTCTGCGCGGGGCGGCCCCCCGCCTGCAGCCAGGAGGGGCACGGAAGGCCCCGAAGGAGGAGCCACGCCCAGGCCCCCAACAAAGCCAGCGGCAGCGCGGGGCCGGCAAGCGCCCCGACCTGGAAAGCCCCCAGGCGCCTGCGCCCTCCAGAGGCCCCCCCCCCAGGCCCCCCCGCCCCAACAGGGCAAGCGCCACCCTCGAAGCCCCCCTCACGAATGCAAGCCTCCTTCAAAGGGGAGCGATCGGATCTCTGGGATGCCTCCAGGGTGCCCTGGGTTCTTGGGTTTCGATGGTTGTGCCATGGAGAGCGTGGCGTTCCCACACCACAAATTCATGGACGTTCTGGGGTCTCAGGGTTGGGTTTCTTGTGTAAGGTTTCTTGTGGTCGGGCCCCTGCTGTATGTTGCCCTCAGGCCTGCGCGAAAGGCGCGGACATCCCCCGCGCCGAGAGGTGGCTCTCCAGGATGGCGCCCGCCGGCCTTGCCCCCGACGTCACAAGCTACAACGCCGTCGCGGACGCCTGCGTGCGCGCGGGCGACGTGGAGCGCGCCGAGGTTGGGGGCACAAAAAGGGTACCCTGTCTCCGGATCCGCAGCATGTTGGCTGATTTTCCGTTTCGAAGTTGTGTCGGACATGCACCCCACATTGGGGCGCAAACCGCGACGGCAAAGTACGGCGGAAATCGGCATCAAAGGAGCCTGAAAAGCATGGCGGAAATTTCAGCCCTACTTGCAAAATCGCCCAAAGCACGGCGGATCCCGGAGTAAGGGGGTATACTGCAATGCCCCGGACCTCTCCAGGGGCGCATGCTGACCAGAATTTCGAGGCGCATGCAGCCGTGGTGACGAGGGCTCTCTAGGACCAGCGGCGGTATCAATACCATCTTCTCTGGGAGGCCTGGTTTGAGCACATGGTGGCCTCGGGCCTGCGCCCGGACGTCGTCAGCTACACCACCGTGGTGCACGCCCATGCCAAGGCTCGAGGAAGAGAAAGAGCAGATACACATTGCGGAAGTCCGCGCGCATTCCTTGGATCGGCGGTTGGCTCCCCTCCCGCCCGCGAAGCGCGCCAGGGACGACGCCAGAGGCGCCGCCGGGTAGTCTCAGTCCAGGAAGTCCGCGCCACCGCCCACCCCTCGTCGGCTGCTGGGTTCAGACCTGCTCTCGCTTGGCAGCTTTGAGTCGCAGCGGCCGGGGGCTGGGCGCGAAGGCAGCCGGCGCGCGCACCCTGGACGCTGTGGAGCTGCGCATCGCGACGCACGAAACACAGATGTCAACCAGCACAGTAAGGATGAGCAACTTTCCAAGGCTACCCTCGCATCTTTGCCCTCTCGGCCCATCCGTGGCGACTTCCGCTGGCCAACCTCGCTCGAAAGCGCCCACATGGCCCTCCAAGGCAACTGCACCCTCACCGCGCCTCCTTACCACACTGTATGTTTACGCAGTCTTTTCCGAAAGGGCGGCGACGTCGACCGCGCCGAGGCCTGGCTGCTGCGCATGGACCGCGACGGCGTTAGGGGAACAAAGAATGACATGAATGTAAAAACTCGGAGGTCCGCGCGGATTCCTCGGATCGGCGCTGGACCCCCTTCCCTGGCGCGCGGAGCGCGCCAGGGGCGGCGCCGGAGGCGCCGCCAGGGGGCCCCAGCGCGGATCCGAGAAATCCGCGCGGACCTCCAAGTTTTTATGTTTGCGTCATTCCCCCCACCCTGACACGTCGATCAGTCGATTGTCCGCTTTCGGTTCTCGAGAGGGGACGCCGCGGCCAGCATTTTCTCCACGCTGGCGCCCTCCAGGTTTGGGCCCGAGGTCGTGTGTTACTAAACCACGTCTTCCTAAAGGGGGTCCTGTTGTCGTTTTCCCGCGGAGAAGGAGGAGGAGGAGGAGGAGGAGGAGGAGGAGGAGGAGGAGGAGGAGGAGGAGGAGGAGGGAGTTCCTGCGGCCGCGTCGACGACGACGCTCTCTCATTCCCCGAGGCGTGCCCCCCACCGCGCCCACGTTCCACACGCTCGTCGGCGCGTGCGGCCGCGCCGGCGACGCGGCCCGCGGCCAGCGGCTGCAGGCGGAGATGCGGCGCAGGGGGCTCTGAGCCGAGCGCCGCGGCGCGGGCGTGCTAGGGGCGCTGAGCAAGCCACCCCACCCAGCGGTGGTCGCAGCCGTGCGCATCATCATCATCATCATCATCATCATCATCATCATCATCATCATCATCATCATCATCATCATCATCATCATCATCATCATCATCATCATCATCATCCGTAGCCATTTTGGCTCAAGGCCAAATGGCTTCCATTCCACTGCCTCAGCGGGGTAGGCTCCCACCAGAGCTTCCAGTTCTTCTGCCGCCACAACCAGGGGCTAGCGGCCGCCCAAGTGTTCTTGCCATAGTACTCGCTACTGTGTGCGCCTCCATATTCATTCCGTCAGTTGAGTACCTCCTGACGAAGAGCCAGAACAGCATCAGCTTCGACGGCTTCCATATCGTGTCCCAGGTCGCTGGCGAGAAGCGGCCCACAATCTGCAACGACTACAACGACACCGCGCTGCACAGCGTCCCGCCTGACCTCCCACAACGGCAGAGTATTTCGCAATGGCATCCAGCGAAAGTAGCGACAGCAGTTCCTCCTCAGCTTCCAAGGATCGACGTCGACGGCCACGCAAAGAGCGAGTACGAGATCGCAGGGACAAGGGCAGAGGAGACGGCAGCCACTCTCGTAGTGACAGAGGTCAACGAAGTGATAAGCATAGATCTGAACGCCCTCCTTCTCAAGATCGGGATAGACGGCGAGCTGAACGTGAACGTGAAGCCCCCCGTGAACAGGAGAGCGGGCATACTCAACGAGCTCACCCCTCATGTACGGGCCGAGCAGGCACAGCCACAGCTACTACGCCTACGCGCAGGGCAGCGCGCAGCGGAGGACCCTCGACCGCGACAGCAGCAAGGGCAGCCAGTTCAAGAACCGATCCGAGAGGCGAAGATGCACTACAAAAAGAGGACCCGTGGACGGGGTCTCAGCTTCCACCGAGACCAGCTTCCGGGGTCTCCCCCGCGCGTGCTGCAGAGGAGGCGGCTACAACATCCGGCACGCCTACTGCAACGCCTGCAGGAATGGCACCAGCGACTCCAATTGCGGGCGAGGCTACCCCACCTGGAGATGGATTCGTGCACGACGACAGCTCGCTGGAGCAGCGCCTCAGCCAGCTCTTCACCTCCCAGATCGAGTCCGCCACCGCCAGGCTCCAGAACGAATCCGAGGCCATCATTCGCAACGCCCAGCAAGCCCTTCAAGGCGAACTTCAGCTCGTACTCGGACACGTTCGACAGCATGGCGGCAGGATGGACGCCCTCGACACCTCAGTACGAGAACTCAACCAGCGTACACACACAGTGGAGCAGGAACAACAACAAATGCGGCAAGACGTGGAACGGATTCAATCGCAATTGGCAATGGCGGAAGCTACTTTACCCGCCTTTGACATGGCAGCTCTGGCAGTCTGGGATCGACCTCCAGACCCCCATCTCTACACTATTGGAGCGCCATCGGCCATACAACCCGCAGAGGTCAAGCGAGCGCTTGAACCCTGGATCAATGCAGCAGGCGTCTCCACCAACGATGTCGAGCTCATCGGCGACGTTCCTGCACGGCGTTTCTTCCTCAGAGTCCTTGGTGGACCAGCAGCCACCTCGCGCAGTCTTTCACTCGCACGGAATCTCAGAGCAGGAGGTCAGTGGCGTAATTTCTCGGCTCCAAACACTTCTGGCGCGCTCACCCCCCTTTACACTAACGCGGACAAGTCTCCTAAAACACTTCGGCGAGAGCTACAAACGAAGAGATTGGTCAGGCTCCTGGCGGACAAGTACGGCAATCACCACTTCAGAAGAGTCGGAGACGAAGGTATTGTCTCTTGCAGCTCAATTCCCCTTGTGGTTCTCGAGGTTGGAGACAACGCCAGCGCACCCACAAAACTCAGGTGGAACATCGCAGTCGCCCACCAGATGGGTATCGACAAGATCGCTATTACAGATCAGTTTCAACAGCTCTTCTTGGCCACAGATACATCGCGGTGGTCTATTTAATAAGCGCTGGAGTCCGTGGCTACAACAGGCTAGAGATCATCGTGGCCAAGTAGTATCGTGGAATTATCATGACCTGCGCTGCTACAAGTATCGTCGCCGCAAGAACAAGCTGCGCAAGATGGAGAGGTCCATGAAGGCATCCGCTCTCATCATGATTCAGGAGACGCATGGTGATCGACAGCAGCTAGAAGTTATGGTTGCCTCTTCTCCATACAATTACAAGGTCTTTCGCTCACAGGCGGAAGAATCATCACAGTATTCATCTGAATTACCCGATGCTGAGCGCGCTGGCAATGCACGAAGGGGTGGAGTGGCATTCCTGGTGCCGTGGCTCACCAGCGATGCAGATACCAGACCGTCTCTCGAATTAGAAGTGCTTGCTCCAGGCAGGGTCACGCAACTGTCTATTAAGCAACAGGAGATACGCTACCAGATGCGCATCATGAATGTCCACAACAACAACATTTCCCTGAACGATAAGAATGTTCTCAATAGCAGATGGATGGAACATATTCAATGGACAAGCAGCAATCATCTTGAGCTCACGCTCATCGCGATAGGTGACATCAACATCCGTGAAGGCGTTCCGATGTCCTATGATTACCCGATACCTGACCAGGCCCAGCTACGGACACATCATACATACCAACATGCTGAAGCCCTCTGGCGCTCCCTATATGACTCTATGCAGGAGATCAGAACGGAGGCGCCAACATATTTCAGCAGACAGCAATACACAGCGGCGACCATCGATAGACTCCTTGTAAATACGCCAGAGCATTACCTGATTGTCACGGACATCCACCTCTCTGTTGCCATGGACCCAGTGGAGATGGCCCAGTCGCGCCTGAGCGACCTCTCCATCAGCCACGCCTCCTTTAGAGCCAAGCAGAACATCCCAGAGGAAGAGCAGCGCATCCCAGAAGTGGTCTCCACGGACGACGGTTCCAAGATCATACTCGACAGCCTCATGAACGCGAATGGACTGGAAAGGTTCTCGCCTGCACGGAAGTGGACATGAAACATCTCATGCCCGTGGTCGCTCGTCAAACTCGAGATGGGCCTCAGCATCTACCATGCCGACCTGGCGACAAACATGCACGAGCCATTCAGTTACGTGCTGCCCGAGCAGCACAAGCTGCGCAGCGAGCTGGAGACCAACCTGCAGCTGAAGCGCATTCTCGTCAAGTCCGTGCTGGTTGCCGTAGGGCCTGCTCGTTTTGCAAAGCTGATGGTTTTTCTTTCTCGGGACACGATTTAGTGGCCCCTCAGTCTGCCCTGATCCTAGGAGCAGCTAGTAGTTGCAGCTGCTCCACTCTTGCGAGCACTGAATGGGCAGCAGAGCTCGACAGGTGGCGCGAATCGGCGCCGCTGACCTGCCCCATCGAAGAATGGATCAAAAAAGAGTGGAGCGCACCCTGCTGGATCCAGAAGCAGGGGACCGCCCAGCATTTCGCAGAATTAGTGAATCGTCCACCCCACTGTGGCATCCCGATTGTCCAGCGGGGAGACTCGCATGCAACAGGCCGCATGGTATTTCGTGCGGCGCAAGCGGTGGGCAAGAAGCCCAAGCTCCAGCGTACGGTCCCCTCTTTCCTCCGCCTCTTTCTCCTCCCCAATAAACTTGAAGTCGCTATTTCCAAGCGTCTGAACGCTTGGGGCTTTGTTGTTAGCGTCGTGGGCGGGGTGGCGGAGCGGTGGGGGGAGTGTCTTGCTACGATCAAGAAGTACAGACCTGCTTGGCAGTGGTCAATAATGAAGACCATCGCAGCTGGCTGGACAACCAGCCGTCGAAGCCACGAGCGTGAGATCGCTAATTGCCTTTTTGGGTCCGCCCAGATTGACTCCATCGCCCTTTGTTTTTCCTGCCCCGTCCGCCGTTCCCTCTTTGGCCTCCCCTCCTACCATCAGACCTTCCCCGGCCTAGCGGCCGACAACGAATGCAACCGCGAGAGCCGCACGTCCCCGCGCGCTGGTGCGCTGCGAATGGCCGTGTTGGCATTATATACTTACCATAAGGCGAGAGCTGCGGCGACCCATGGGGGCCAGCTCACGCCAAGCCAACAGCGAGCCGCCGTCGCAGCAGCACAGCGCGCCACTTACATCTAAAGCGGCTGACGATGCGTGCGAACTGGCTCGCCTCAGGTACGGTCGATCATCATCATCATCATCATCATCATCATCATCGTCATCATCGTCATCATCGTCATTATCATGATCATGACCAGCATCATCATCATCAGCATCAGCAGCATCATCATCATCATATTCATCAGATTCATCATCATCATCATCAGCATCATCTCATCATCATCATCATCAACATCAACATCAGCATACACAACAGCATCATCATCATCAGCAGCATCATGGTTCGCATCATCATATCCATCTTCACAATCATCATCAAGGGCACAATCATCAGCATCATCATCATCGTCGTCATCGTCATCGGCATCGTCATCATCGTATTCGTTACTGTAGTTGTGATGATCATTATCGTTACCATCATTAGCATACTCGCCGTGACCCTACCAATCATCGTCACACCTTTATTATCCTCATCACCATAGTCGAGCCCTTATCACCATTACCTTCATCATCATCAGCAGCATCAAACTTATCATCACTACCTCATGAGTAGTAGCACTGCAAATATCAACCTGTTAATAGCATTGTAATATTTGTACTGGTAGTATCAGTAATACTAATAGTAGCCGTACTACTCGTATTAGTATTAGTCGTTTTCTTGTAATTCGTATTACTCAGTGTTCTCTTTTTCCTTACCAGCATCTGCATCACCATCGTCGTCGCCGTCAACGTCCTCCTGCTCGTACGTTTCACCCTACTCGTCCTCTCAGCCTGTGTCTGATGGTTGTTGTTCTTCTTCGAGTGATTTTTCAGATCAGTAGTGGCATGATCGTCCTTGGTATGGTTTGTTATTAGTCGTGCTATTCGTATTGTTGACGCTTGGCGTATCCCCGCCAGCCCATCCAACAACAATGCCCATGAGAGTTGCTTTGGACAGGGCGGTGGAGGAGCATGCTGTGGAACAGAGCTGGGGAAGCCAGTCAAATCATATGTTTGATCAGC